TCAGGATTTGGTGAGAAGTACGACATATGGAAGGTGGGTGAAGGGGGAGCAATTGGCAGGCAAGGGAGAGATGCAAAATTATGGAAGCAATATATATCTTGGTTTAATCGTAAATTTTTTTTTTTAAACAGTTTTTTACAAGAGCGACCCAGGCAGGAGTGGGGGAAGTGCACCTGAAGTGATTATTATCATTTGACCTGAAGGACTTGGTATGGTTTAATCGTAAATTTATTAACATATAAGAGTAAAATAGGTATAATAGGTAATTTTCATTAATTGGAAGCTTGAAGCTCCCGCAAAAGCTCGGATTTCTTGCTTCCGGAATTTTCAAAGGATGGAAGTTGACTGGAGATTCTTACTAGCTGAAGGCAATATAAGAAGTAGGGGTGTTTGGTGCAGCTGCACCTTTTGGACTTCAAAAGGTCTTCCGACCAGTTGCACCAAACACCCACTAAAACCTATACAAAATAATATTGTATCTATATATATTAAAATTAGTGTATATCAAATTAAAATTACCTAACTTATATTTAAAAATTAAAATTTTAATTTAAAATTCAAAAATTTACCTTATTAAATCTTATTACTTAAATTTGAAATTCAATTATATATTTTAATATATTTAATTTTTAAATCTAAATATTAACATTTAATAACACTTGACCTTTCGAGCCAACTGATACCCTATCAGCTTGAGGTGCATTTTCCCTCTTTTATGAACGGGTTTCGAACTCGTCCCTTAACAACTTGTTCAAAAAAAATATATTAACATTTAATAAAATAGATTTTAAAATTTTAAATTGAATTTTAATTAAATAAAACAATGTAATTTAAAATTAGGATTTCAATTTACTTTTAGAATTATAATTGATATATACTTTTCCTATATATATTAATTTTTACATAAAAAATTTCTATTACTAGTTTTATTTTCAAATGAGGATATTTAGGATGATTTGCAGGAAAATGGTCCCGTAACGTGTGAAGCATATTTAAATAATGTTATGGGCATCTCTATCCTTCAATCTAGCAAATTCACTTAATTTTTTTTTTATTTTAAATCATTAAATTAATTTTTCATCCACTTATGTATACGATCATAATAATTTGCTTCCAAGTCAACCTTTCGGATCCCAGTGATTTGTTTTCAATCTTTAAAATGGTTAAATTAGTTGGTCGGAATTTCAAACCCTATTAACACTTTAAAAAATCATTCCCTTCAATCTTTGAAATTGTCAACTGTCCAAAAAAAATCATAATAATTTGCTTCCTGGTCCTCGGTCGGGTCAAACAAACTAGCTTACGAGAAAAATAGAGCACCATTTCGCTCTTTGCCCAATTAGAGCATACTTTGGTAATGTTCTTTTTGGTTTGGACTAGTTTGGTAAATGGATCTAGAAGCCAGAATATGAATGAATAATAAGGTTCTATCTAATATAATTATAATTTTTAGTTTTAATTTTAATTTTTATAAATTTTGTAATTTTAAATTAAATAGCTTGTTTACTTTCAATATTTTTGGATTATGTATTTTTCAACATATTATA